CTCTGCCCGAACAACACGGCAAGTAGACAATTGAGGATCAGACGATGTCGAAGAAGAGCTGGACATCGAACTCGACGAGGAGGATGAAGATGAGGAGACACTGCTGGTAGAAGCCGCAGAGGAGTCTGAATTAAGCCGAAACCGACGCGGTAGCGTGAGGCCCCTATCATCACGCACAGGAGCAAGACCGTTGGGCGCACTCTCGCAGGGAGCAGACCCCGAGCAGGTAGCTGTCGGCGTAGCTGGTTGGAGAGCATGTCAATCATGAGGGTGGCAGTTCTCAATCCTAGACTTCATGGCCTCGGCTGCAATCCCCCAGAACTGTAGATCGGGAAGATGTGGGCGCAACTGCATGCGACCAAGCCCGTCCATCTCACATTTGGCCAGCACGAAGTGGTCAGTCTCCGTCCTCGCGAAGAACTCATTCCGAAACCCATTCGCGCCAATCTTCATCGAGTCCTTGTAGCGGTTCGTATCTTTGAGATGCTGCGCCACTGGGGTCCAGAGCTTGGCCATCAAACGTTGGCGTGTGCGAACATCATCAGGAAGATCAGCCTGAATCCTCGGGTGGTGCTCCTTCTGGTCACGAGGATCTCGCCATTAAACCTCTTGCGCAATGAACCAGTTCTTGAACTCTGTGGCAGACTCGGACGAGGAGAAGTGGATGGAGAAGCTCTGGCTGGTTTTGGCGAACTTCGTTGTGGTGCCACTGAGAGGACGCTGCGGACATGCAGCTTCGAGTAGTGTCCATGTGGAGCGGCGCGTGGTCTCAAGGACCGCGCGTGGGTATCCTGATGGCCAGAATCTCCCTGGCTCAACTTGTTGATTCTCGACCAAGCCAATGGTGCCAGCAACACGAGGACCTGTAGTGCCAGCATACGTTGACGCCATCGATGATGGTGGGGCCTTTCTTAACGACTCAATGCTACTTTCTGGCTGGTGCTGCTTCACTTGAAGTTCTTGAACTTTGATCTCGGGCGCCGCCATTCGACGGTCGATCTGGACCACTTGGCTGGTCATTATTTTATTAGACTCGTCCACGTTCGATGTCAGCGTTGCAAACTGTCCAGTAACGAAAGCCGCGAACCATGCAGGGGCAGCATCCGCACTCATGACTGCACGCGGTACTGCTCGGAGCACAAAGATGGGAGCGTAGCCGAAATCGAAAGGTCTTATCCCCAGAATCCCTCGATCCTCCCTGTCGGCTGCGCAAGAAAATCAAACCCCAGGGCGAAGGTTTGAGCCTACGGATCATGATGATGCGGATGCTGATGGGGATACTGAGCATGATGAGGATGATGCTGATGATGAGGATGGTGGTGATTATGAGGATGATGTTGCTGCTGGTGATGCTGATCATCGTCATCATGATCCTGCTCATGACAGTGATTGTGCTCGTGCTGTTGTTGGTGATGTTGATGATGAAGCTGGTGGTGATGTTGGTGCTGATGCTGATGATGGTGATTTGTTGGTGATAATGATGATCATGACGACATCGGTGGTGATGATCATCATGATGATGCTGATGATTATGCTGCTGATGGTGATGAGATTGCTGATGGTGGTTCCGATGACGATGGTGATATTGATGGCCAATGATGACGATGATGCTGATGATGATGACGATGATAATGATGACGATGACCGTGACGCGCATAATCATGATGCTGATGATGATGGCGATGATGATGATGATGATGATGCGGATGATGACGATGATGATGATGCCGACGATGACAATGATGACGAGGACGACGACGATGCTGATGATGCACCTGAATGAAAAAACGTGTTCTTTTCAGGCCCCTCCTGGGCACAACATGTTTACCTTGCTTCACCCCACCACGTAGCACCGTGCAGTTCCGGATAAGAGTGAAGGGGCGGCGGGGACGTCGGCAGTCAGCGAGGCTCTGAAAAAGCCCGCCGCAGGCGCCAAAGTCTTACAAATTATGCAACGAGCCCGCCGCAGGCGCCGATTTTCTAATTAAAGCAATGTTGGTGCGTCACGGGGTGGGTCGCAGGGTCGCGAAAAGGTCGCGAGTGGGTCGCGGGTGGGTCGAGGACCGGGTCGCGGGTGGGTTGCGGGTGGGTCACGGGTGGGTCGCGGGCGGGTCGCGGGTTGGGTCGCGGGTGGGTGGCGGGTGGATTGCGGGTGGGTCGGCTGGGTCGAGGCGGGGGACGACGACAACAAACAACAACAACAACAACAACAACAACAACAACAACAACAACAACAACAACAGCAGCAACAACAACAACACCACCACCACCAACAACAACAATAACACCACCAACAACAAGCATCAACAGCAACAATCATTTTCAGACTGTTCGCTCTTATCTGCTCAAGCGTCCGTTAACGAATATTTCCCGAACCCTCGGTACCCGCCTCTTCGTCTTCGATCGTACCCAATTTGGGGGGTATATCTTTCTTCCCTGCAGGCCAGGCCCCGGCAAGCGGCGGTGCGGCCGCGGACCGTCGGCCTAGCCAGCGGCAGCGCTGATCGGCGGCAGCCCGACCCCAAGAGGGACGGACAGGGGACCGACCAGGACGGCGACGACGACGACGACGACGACGACGACGACGGCGGCGGCGACGACGACGACGACGACGACGACGAGCGAAAGCGAGAGAGAGAATGACAGCAGGGCAACGAAGGGCACGAAGTAGGCCACGGAGGGCGACAGCGGGGACACGAAGGGAATGCGTATGGGGCCACGAAGAGCGCGAACGAGCGGGGCCACGAAGGGCAGATAATGCGGGGCCACAGAAGGCAAAGACGGGGCCACTGAGGGTAGCAACTGGGCCACGTAGGACAGCGAGGGAGCCACAAAGGACGACAGCAGGGCCACGAAGGGCATGCACATGGGGCCACGACGGGCGCGAACGAGCGGGGGCCACGGAGGGCATACATATAGTGGGCGGGGGGGGGGGCAAGGACGGGGCAACGGAGGGCAGCAACGGGGTCACGAAAGGCAGCGAGGAGGCCACGAGGGGCAACAGCGGGACCATGAAGGGCATGCATATGGGGCCACGACGGGCGCGAACGAGCGGGGGCCACGAAGGGCATACATATATGGGGCCACGAAGGGCAGCGAGGGGGCCACGAAGGCTGCAACGGGGCAATGGCTGCAACGGGGCCACGAAGGGCAGCGAGGGCGCCACGAAGGGTTGCAACGGGTCCACGAAGGGCAGCGAGGGGGCCACGAAGGGTTGTAACGGGGCCACGGAGGGCAGCGAGATCCCGATTCCTAAATAATCTGTGAGGGAGTCCTGAGGGTGAGCGCGACTCCTGGGTGCCTGAGTGTCGGAAGCGCGGCGCTAAAATAAATTGCGGGAAACTCCTACCCGAGGGCGCTATTCTTAAGTAAACTGCAAGCAAGTCTCCAGCGAGAGCGCGACTACAGAGCGCCGAGAGAGCGATTCCTGAATAAATTGTAAGGAAGTCACAAGCGAGAGCGCAATTCCTGAATACAATGCGAGGAAGTCCCAAGCGAGAGCGCGATTCTTCAATACATTGTGAGAAAAGTATCAGGCGGGAGCCGTTGTTGTTGTAAACGGGGGGCCAACGACACAGTTTGAGCCTCAAGGCTTTCTCTGATGAAAAACAGAGTGCGAGCCCCGGGAGGGGCACTCCAATACACAATAATACAATGTGCACCGGGCGGGGGGGATCAGCAAACATTATTCTTCAGAGATGAACAACAGCAGCAGCAGCAGCAGCAACAACAACAACATCACCAACACCAGCACCAACATCCACAACAACAACAACAACAACAACAACAACAACAACAACAACAACAACAACAACAACAACAACAACAACAACAACAACAACAACAAAAACAACAACGCAACAAACATAATGTTCACCACGGACCCCCACTTCAGCCACGCACCCAGGGACAATGAATGACCGTTCGGCCTCCTCACTCTGACGTAGCACCCTGCAGTTGCGGATAAGAGTTAGGGGGCGGCGGGGACGTCGGCAGTCAGCGAGGCTCTGAAGAAGCCCGCCGCAGGCGCCAAAGTCTTACAAATTATGCAACGAGCCCGCCGCAGGCGCCGATTTTCTAATTAAAGCGATGTTGGTGCGTCGCGGGGTGGGTCGCAGGTCGGTCGCGGGTGGGTCGCGGGTGGGTCGCGGGCTGGGTCGCGGGTGGGTCGCGAGTGGGTCGCGGGTGGGTCGCGGGCGGGTCGCGGGGTGGGTCGCGGGTGGGTCGCGGGTGGGTCGCGGGCCGGGTCGCGGGTGGGTCGCGGGTGGGTCACGGGTGGATCGCGGGCGGGTCGCGGGGTGGGTCGCGGGTGGGTCGCGGGTGGGTCGCGGGTGGGTCGGCTGGGTCGCGGGGGGGACGACGACAACAAACAACAACAAAAACAACAGCAACAACAACAACATCAACAACAACAACAACAACAACAACAACAACAACAACAACAACAACAACAACACCAACACCGACAACAACAACAACAACAACAATAACAACGCAACAAACATACTGTTTACCACGGATCCCCACTTCAGCCACGCACCCAGGGACAATGAATGACCGTTCGGCCCCCTCACTCTGACGTAGCACCCTGCAGTTGCGGATAAGAGTGAGGGGGCGGCGGGGACGTCGGCAGTCTGCGAGGCTCTGAAGAAGCCCGCCGCAGGCGCCAACGTCTTACAAATTTTGCAACGAGCCCGCCGCAGGCGCCGATTTTCAAGTTAAAGCGATGTTGGTGCGTCGCGGGGTGGGTCGCAGGTCGGTCATGACAGGGTCGCGAGTGGGTCGCGGGTGGGTCACGGGCCGGGTCACGGGTGGGACGACGACAACAAACAGCAACAATAACAACAGCAACAACACCACCAACAGCAACATCATCAACAACAACGCAACATGCAGAATCTTCACCACGGATCCCCGCTTCAGCCACGCACCCAGGAACAATGAATGACCGTTCGGCCCCCTCACTCTGATAAGAAACAAACGGACGAGAGAAGCCGCGTAGCAAACGTACTTAAGGAAGGAATCGAACAGAACAGGGCCGTGTAGTAAACGAACAGGGCCGTTCAGTAAACGCCCAGGGCTAGTTATGGGGGTCGGGATGCTTCTTCCTTCCTTGACTCATCGCCCCCCCACTGCTCGACGCCCGAATGCTGCCCCTGACGTCCTGCCAGGGTGCGCCGCGAGTACCCGCGCGCCCACGAACACGCCGTCGGCCCCCGCGCGCCCGGCCGCAACCGCGCCGCGCCGCCGCGCGAGCAGCCGCTGCAAGCCGCCGCGCTCGCCGACGAACCGCTGCAGCTCCTTGAAGCTAACGGTGCCTGCCCGACGGCCACGTCTTTTAGCCAGCGGCCGTAAGACCCTGAGACACTGCGGTTGCACTCTCGTCACCACGGGCGTTTTCGCCCAGCTTCGAGCTCCGGGACCCTCACAGGTCGATGCGGAGGGGGGAGGAGGAGGAGGAGGAGGAGGAGGAGGAGGAGGAGGAGGAGGAGGAGGAGGAGGAGGAGGAGGAGGAGAGGAGGAGGAGGAGGAGGGAGGAGTGGAGGAGGAGGAAGAGGAGGAGGAGGAGGAGGAGGAGGAGGAGGAGGATTGAGGAGGAGGAGGAGGAGGAGGGAGGAGAGGAGGAGGAGGAGGAGGAGGGGAGGACGGAGGAGGAGGAGGAGGAGGAGGAGGAGGAGGTGGAGGAGGAGGAGGAGGAGGAGGAGGAGGAGGAGGAGGCTCCAACCGTGATGTCTTGCGGTGCTGCGACTTTCTTGGGACGCCGGATCGCAGGGAGGGGGCGGACGGCGGTCGAGCAGCGGCGGGGCGCAGCGCATCACGGCGAGGCGCGGGGAAGAGAGAACGCGCCAGGTGGGCGAGGGAAACGCACGCGGGCCAGGAAAGTCTCCTCCACCTCCTCCCCCTCCTCCTCCTCCTCCTCCTCCTCCTCCTCTCCTCCCCCTCCTCCTCCTCCTCCTCCCATCCTCCTCCTCCTCCCCTCCTCCTCCTCCCCTCCTCCGCCTCCTCCTCCTCCTCCTCCTCCTCCTCCTCCTCCTCCTCCTCCTCCTCCTCCTCCTCCTCAACGCGCCGGGTGGGCGAGGGAAACGCACGCAGGCCACGAAGGTCTGCGCGTGCGTGCCGCGCATCGGCCACACGCAAGAGAAGCCGTACGGGGCGCAGAAGGACACAAGGCCAAGAGAACGCGCCGGGGTGGGCGAGGGAAACGCACGCGGGCCATGACAGTCTGCGCGTGCGTGTGGCTCATCGGCCACACGCAAAGGGAAGCCGTAATGAGGGATGATGATTCATAAAAAATGGGAGAGAACGATTAAACAAATAGTTTTCTGCGATTTCTGCATAATTTTCTGCCTGGAGGAGAACGATTTAAAACATAATGTTCCAGCCCGCGGCCGGTTTTTTCTAATCGTCATCCTGGGCGCCGCCGCGTGAACACGACCCCCGGGCATTTATTAATCGTCATCCTCCATTACGGGGCGCAGAAGGACACAAGGCCAAGAGAACGGACTTCGCCCTCAGCGCTATTTCAAGCGGCAGTTCAGGTTCAGGTGTACGGACCTTCCACGAAAAAGAAGCTCCAGGACAACGCCCAGAAGTCCATGAGACTACACATGGCGGCGAGCGATGGGGGGAAGTGAGAAGGAGGAGGCCTTTTCAGAAGCTCTCTGGCTTTCTGATGAGTCTTCTGTGTCTTCGGGGAAGGATCAGAAAACATCCCACAAGTCCAGAGGACTTCCGAGCCTTCTGAGAAGGCCCGCCCCCTCTCACTTCCCCGGGCTGGCCGCCGATACACGCAAGACTGGACATATGGGGTGCAGAGGAAGGACAAAATTATGCGCCCTCCTCGGAGACGCAAGTCCGTACCGAACAGACAGTAGAAAAATCTTAGAATCTATCGTCCACCGAACGGTATGGCCAGAAAGCGCCCGCCACGGAACGTCTACTGTAAGATTTCTGAGCGCGCGTCGCCCAATTTGGGGTGACGAAGACATCGACCGCAAGCAAGAATCTTCTTCGAGGCCGAAAGAAGAAAGAAACCCGAATCGGAACCGAACTGGATTCAGATCTGGAACTGGAATCGTGACCTGGGGGTCTTCTTCGAGGCGGGGAGAAAACAAAAAACGGAAACGAAACCAGGACCAGGACCATAACCAGACGTTCTTACCCCGAGCCGGAAGAAAAAGGAAACCAGAGCCAAAACTGGAACCAGATCGGCGACCAAAGAAAAAGAAAGGAACCGGAACCGAGACCGGAACAAGAACCGAAGCCAGAACCGAAACCAGAACAGGAACCGAAACCAAAACCGAAATCAGAACCAGAACTGGAACCGAAACCAAAAGCACCACCAGCCATACTGCAAGAGTGACCTTCGGTGCGCGGATTCTGGGCGGGAGCGGGGGAGCCACACACAAGCGCGCGAGCCGCTGCCATCGCATCGCATGCGGCGAAAGTGGGGGGGCCCCAGCGGGCCCACACAACAGGTCACTCTGGCGAAAATGCACTCTTAGCTCCTGGGCGCACTAAATCCCAAGACGTCCTCAAATCTCCGACGTGGAAAAACCTGTTCTGTCCATCGCGCTGCTATCCGCGTCGACTCCGCGTGGAATCCATGTCGAACCTGTTGGGTCCGCGTCGGATCCACGTTGAATCCGCGTGGAAGCTCCGTCGACTTCACGTCGCCGAATCCGCGTCGGGTAGAAAAGACAACAACTTGCAAGACAGACAAGGCCCCCCGAAGATGCAACGTTTACTCCAGATTTCGTAATAAAAGGGAGGGGGTCTGGACCCTCCAAGACAAGCCATTTCAGACCTCCCCCGTGGGAGAACCCTCCAAAACATCGTCCCCAGACCCCCCAGGCCCTCCAAGATAGCCTGGAAGAGACCCCCCCCCGAAATGAGACCCCCCTCCCTTTATTTCGAAATCTGGAGTAGAAAAGACAACAACTTGCAAGACAGACAAGGCCCCCCGAATCTGCAACGCTTAACCAGCGATCTGACTTCTTCAGCCAACGGCCTCTGCCAAAGTACCGGCCTCGGGCCTCGTTGTCGGATCCGGGGTGTGACACTACCCCCGGGGAGGGGGCCAGGGGGGAGAAAATGATGCCATGATAAGACTGGCTCTGGATACGTTCCAGGATGTCCTGAATATCTACTCCAGATTTCGTAATAAAGGGAGGGGGGTCTCATTTCGGGGGAGGGTCTCTTCCAGGCTATCTTGGAGGGCCTGGGGGGTCTGGGGACGATGTTTTGGAGGGTTCTCCCACGGGGGAGGTCTGAAATGGCTTGTCTTGGAGGATCCAGACCCCCCCCCTTTATTACGAAATCTGGAGTAGCGGGATTCCTTCTTGCACCTGGCGTGCAGCATTAGGGAGTATCGGAAACCATGACAATCTCGGAAATCTTGGGACGCATCATTATCATTCCCTCTTGTTCCTCTGATTCTGATGTCTCCAGACTTCGAGTGGGGGATCGGATACAGAATTGATTTACATTACCCCAGAACTGTGTTTTCCGCCGACTCTACGGAAAATACGCCGAATGCTCCGTATATCGATTGAGCACTCTATGTATGAGAGAGCGCGCCCACAGTGAAGGAGCAAAGGGGGGGGTCACCCCTTAGCTACCCCCCCCCCCTCCCTTGAACCCCCCCTGCTGGAAGCTACCCCCCCCCCCCCCTCCCTGTTTCGTCCGCCCCTGGAAGCTACTCCCCCCCCCTCCCCCCCTCTTTCGGCGGTTGGAAGCTACCCCGCCCCCCCCCCCTTTCCAAAGCAGGGGGGGGCTTAGCTGCCCCCCCCCACTTTGGCTCCCTCTGCCAGAAGCCCCCCCCCCTCCCTCCCTTTTTTGCCCCCCCCTCCCCCCCCGAAGCTACCCCCCCCTCCCCCCTTTTGCCGCTCCGGAAGCTCCCCCCCCCCCTCCCCACTTTTCAAAAGGGGAGGGCTTACAGTGAGCGGCTTGAATAAGGAACACTTACTTTTCAGAAGGGGCTCGGTCGTTCCTTAGGCTTGCATGCGTTATGTATTGTTCCCTATGCGTTTTGTATTATTTGTTCATCGTTACCTATGCGCTACTCCTTGGAAGAAAGGGGCTTCGTTCCTTATTTATCGTTCCTTAGGTCAGGCCGATGACTGTAGCTACCCCCCCACCCGTGAACCCCCCGGGCTGGAAGCTACCACCCCCTCCCTTGAACCCCCCTGCTGGACGACGATCCTCCCCCGTCGCCGTCGTCGTTGCCGTCGCCGTCGCTCGACGTCTTCGTACGACGCCGTCGTCGTCCTCGTCGTCGGCGTCGCCGCCGTCGCCGTCATTGTCGCCGTCTTCGCATGACCTCGTCGTGGTCGTCACGACGAGGACGAGGTCATACGAAGACGGCGACGGACGACGGACGACGGACGATGCGCGACCGACGACGACGACCCAGGGTCAGAGAAAACGAGACCACGACCCAGAGGCTGAGAGAACCAGGAAACGAAGCAGGGTTCGAGAAAACGAGACAACGGCCCAGGGGCCGAGAAAACGAGAAAACGAACCAGCGTCCACCAAAAACATCCCGGCAAAGCAACCTAACAGCGATGTGTATGAGCATATCTGGAAGCATTCCCCTTTAGATTCATGTAGGATTCCTGTTGTAGAATTCTGGTGTACTCGGAGTCGCAAGCGCAATCGCATTCGCAATGGCAGTCGCAGTGGCAACGGCAGTCCCAGTCGCAGTCGCAGTGGCAATGCCAGTAGTTGCAGTAATGCCACTAGCAGTAGCAGTAGAAGGGCTCCGGGCATTCAAAATGTGGCCCGGGAATGGTGTTCTGGGAACACGAAGAACACGAAGTGGCCTACAGTTGGCTCCGGGCATTCAAAGTGTGGCCCGGGAATGGTGTTCTGGGAACACGAAGAACACGAAGTGGCCTACAGTTGGCTCCGGGCATTCAAAATCATGCCCAGCAATGGAGTTCTGGGAACTCGAAGACCCCCCTGGGGCGTCATGATGCTCTCTTTTGACCCTACTAGAAACCTATCAGTCTTCGCTGTTAGGGAACGACCCAAAATCAGAGAAAACGCGACCACGACCCAGAAACCGAGAAAACGCGAAAACGAACCAGTGTCCGATAAAACGAAACCACGACCCAGGGGCCGACAAAACGAGACAACGAGAAAACAAACCAGTGCCCGAGAAAACGAAACCACGACCCAGGGGCCGAGAAAACGAGACAACGAGAAAACGAACCAGGGCCCGAGGCAGCGAGATCACAACCCAAGGGCCGAGAAAACGAGAAAAACGAGAGAATAAACCAGGGCCCCAGGAAAAAAAAGAGGCCCCCAAAACGAG